AACGGCATTTTTAAAAAACTAATAAAACATCTATGCAACGTTTTATGGATTTTTAATCACATGGTCTGTCTGTATTTGTATGTTTTCTCTTCCCTTCTATTATTCCATTCTTGTATTAAAACATCCTGACTCTAAACAACCACCTTCACTTCCGGGGCATATGAAACTAAAGCTAGCAAAACAAAACGCCTTACTCCGCATTTACATAAACACCTCTTTGACATAACTTTATAACGTACTGGATCCAGGCTTATACAATAGCAAAGGGAGTGTTATCACCATGTTTGAGGGTATCTTTTCACAGTTGTTGGTAAGTCTTCCTCCTCTACGTTTAACAGCCATTCAAGTTTAAATTCTCCTGACAGAGAAAAGAGCCCTATACCCTGAAGTCTATATCCGGCTAAAATCAGAATGCAGCCTCTGACCCACCTGTGGGCTTCTAGTCAGGGATACTTGCACTACCTTGACATAGAGCCCTAGGTTGCAAAAAGAGCTATGTGCAGAAAAACCAATACACGTGTGCACGCACAAGCATGCAGTTTCTCAGGTCCTCCACAGCTCCCTACCACTGGACAATATGCATATGGCAACGTTATATACAATGTGCATATGCTCTACTTGGAACTTCGGCCAAGCAAATAAATTTAAGAATAACAATGGAGCTTGTGAGTCCTGTTCTCCAGTTCCGTATCTAGTCTCAGGCACCTACACGCTGATCGGCTTATACCTCCTCAAAAAATAAAACTGTTTGAAAGCAACACTGGCAGTAACTTGAAATGTATGTGCTGAGGAAAGATAGCTCAAGAGCTATCCCAAGTACATACCTTTCCCAAGTCCTGTATACGAGAAGTAAGGGAGCAGATTCACTCGACGGTATGCAACACAGACGTTCAAAAGATCGGCACCTCTGAGTTTCTTTGATACCACAGCAGCATACATAGGAGCGATTAAAATGCATTTATCGAACACCTTCTTGCTCTCGAATCACATTCTGATTTTCCGAATTTGCTCTCGTTTCCAGAGCTGACAGCGTTTTAAGGTCAACAAGCCTACAAGGCTGCTCAAAGTAAAAACAACTCATCTGAAATTGCTATGCAGAAAGAACAGCAAGTTTCAGCTCCAACAAGGCTGCTCAAAGTAAAAACAACTCTCTGGAACTCTGGAAAGTTCCAGAGATGTGTAAGCACCATTCACTGAGAAACAGGGTTTGAAAGTTTCGCCATTTCTGAACAGCTATCTCCTTTGGATCCCTTCTCCAAAGTGTACTCTGAAAGTTAAGCCTCAGCATTAGCTTCTCTATGTCCCAGTTTTGGCCATACGCATTCCACCTCCAAAAGCAAAATTTCAGAAATTTACACATTGGTTTTGTTTGTTTTTTTAGTTTAAATATACAGTCATATTTTCAAGCCAAGTTGGAAACGTGTTTGCCACTCATATGTCATACACAAAGTTACTTTTCAATGCCAATGGCAGGCTCAAAAATCCCAGTTTGAACTGAAAGCTTTAAAACATTTCTCATACCTTTGATGATCTTGAATCACAAAAAGGATTACCACTTTACCAGGTTAAATATACACCCCACATAAACAATCACTCATTATTTCACATCTCAATCACTTCACAGAAATTGAGCGTATCGCTCCTTTGGAAGGAAGGACAGGATTTAACATCATGTTTGTGACTTCAGCTGATTTTCTTAAAATCTTATAAAAGGAACAATGATTCCCCATATCTTCTCCCATTACAGTCAGTAAAAAAAACAATTTTTCCCCTCAAGTAATTGCCACATGCATAAAAGCAATATTCTACAAAATACAAAAGCTCATGATGACAAATAGATAACAAAGTCCTATTTTATGCATACATCAAGGCCTATTTATTCTTTACTGTTACATCCCTTGCTGCTGGAATTCCCTCCACCCACTTGCTGCACTTGTAAACTTTACTTGTTGTAAAATTTGAGTCTGAGAGGGCCAAGACAATCTTTTTACTTATCAGCACAACAGGATCTTCTTTCTGCAATGCACAGTAAAATAAAAGACAAAGAGAAAACACTCAGAATTGTATTTGTTAATTACTATTCTCTGGCATGCTACAAAACATGAGTATCCACCAAATCTTTGAAAAAGGACCTTTGAATTTCATTTACTATTTCCATCACCAGAACCTGTCACCACAAAGACCTTTTCTCTCTAAAGCAAGTCCCTAAAGCTTTTTCAACATGTAAGGACACTTCTTTGCACCTTCCTGCGTTGAAAACTACTCCATTGTGAAAGGCAAGGTATTTTCTTTCAGGCCATTAGTTCTGCAATTACATTGGTCCTACTGAAAAAACCCTACAGTTACTACTTTTCCATGCCTCCTACCCATGGAGCAGTTCTACGACTGCACCATAAATATCAGGCCAAACACATGTTAAGAACTACCACCATCAGTAATTTACATCTTGTTACTCTGTAATACACCTTGTTACACAGAGTGATGACTTTGCATGATCTTACCAGCAATGTATCATTGAAATGAAGGTCCATGCTTGAGGGATTCACTTCAAAAGAACTTAAGGGACAATTTACAATGTCAACTCATAAAACTGTGCAAAAGACACTTCAAATAAAAACAATATTTGCGATTTGTTTGATTGCTTGAGCTATTCTGGCAGTGGTATCACAATGGTCTATTTTTATTCCAAATTGGTTTTTACTATAAAAAGTTCAATCACTACGAAACTAATGCTTGCAACACTGATTTCCATGGCACTGCTTAGAGACACACCGCAGAAGAATAATGTGCATGTCAGGGCGTTTTATGTAGCAGCAGCAACATTCTGTGAGCAGTCTGGGCAGCGGATTTGCTCCAGGTTATTTTGACTACTATACGCAATACTCTCCTGAAATGAGCAGGGCATCTGCACAGTGGAATTCAATGAGATTCTGAATAGTCAGAATGACACCAAGTAACACCGGGCAGAAAGAGCCTGCACAGTAAGAACAGCCATCTACTTGTGCATCCCATGTATCATTCTGTCAGTATGTTGTATAACAGTTTCAAAAAAAGGAAATTAAATCTTAAATAAAAAAGGCCTGACCTGAACCAACAAAGCAAGCAGGAAATTGAATAAAGGCTGACACTCTTCTTAGCTCTGCTAATGTGGCAAGGTTTTGACTCATAGATAGGATCGTTTTGCAGTCTTCCCAAAAGAAGACTCTTTGATATACCTTAATGAAGTAGTGCTAGAGAACAATTTCTCTTTGGAATTGTGAACATTCATCAATCGCTTCCTTAATTCTCCAGCACGCGATCAGATCCTCAAAGGACAATGCTAAATGAACACATAAGCGCTGAAGTAGCGTCTTGGAAGGGGTACCAGGCAACGCCTTCATTTACGTGTATTCAAGTAGCACCCATGTTCTGTAATGAGTAGATAAAAATTTTACCAGAATCCTTCCCATGGTTTCACCATGATTTTCAAAAGAGAATTTTTATTTTGAAAGTAGTCTTTCTTAAATGCAATACTAACCTTCAAGATTAGCAAACAAAACAAAAAAATAAACAAAATCCTACTACATCAAGAAGAATCTTCCAGCTGGTCATGCTTTTCTGCTCTCAACAAAACTGAGCAAAGGGACCCTGTCCACAAGATTGTCAGCTCAGATCCCAGTGCTTTCAGAACAGTTTTATAAAGTTTTACTTCTGAGTTTTACACTGTTGAAAGCAATTGTTCAGCCAGCCAACTCCTGTCACTTCCATGAATATGAATAAGCTTCAATATAGGACACTGAGTTTTTGCAACTGCAAGAAGCTCTGATTGTTCAGAGTTAATCTTTGCCAATAAACCAACCCTGCCATTATTTAGAGATTTTTATTTTTCTCCAGTGTCTGACTGGGTGGGGAGAGATTTGTTTTAAAGTCTCCTTCTTTCCATTTTCATAAAGCTTAATTTTTTTTCATACTCCCCTTCCCTTGCTAAGCTTTCAGAGCAGTAGGAGGAATCACATTACTAATGGGATCAGGACCTTGAAAAGGTATATTTTGCCGTTTCTCCTGAATGTGCATGGTGCTAACTTGTACCTATGCTGAGGCAAAAAGGCAGCAGAAGAAATTGTTTGGAGTTCATGAAAATTAACATTTGGTGTAATTTTGTAACCAGAATTTGCATGTACACAAGTTACACATAAATACATATGGATTAATGCAAATTATCATACAGGGAAAGATTCACTCTGTACTCTGTAAAACTAAGGGGAAGGCTGGTGATGAATCATTTTTAAAATATTCTCGTCTGGGTATATAAATAGCTCTCTGTTTCTAGAATAATTACTACTGAAAAACACAGCTTCTGAAATAACATAGGCCATAATTAACCTAGGCTTCATTAAATCACAAATAATATCTTTTTAGAGACTTATTTGTAAAGGCGAGCTGATTAATTTAAATGTTTCCCTTTGCAAAAAAAAAAGAAAAAACACTAATTGAAATGATTTACCTACACAGCTACTTGTCAGATCCTGTACGCTCTGGGAAGGTTTTCAGCCAGTGACTTGGCTATCTCACTCCCACCCCAGTTCCGCAGCAGTGGGAGCAGAGGTTTTCAGGTGGCCACCCACCGCTCCCCAATCCCGCAGGGGCAGAAGCACAGCACAGCACCCCCGGCTCCCAGCTCGGAGCCCTGCCCGCTCCCGTGGCCACCCCCAGCCTGCGCTGCCCCCACGGGGCACCCTCCTCTCCTTGCCGGCGGCACGGCGCAGCACAGCACAGCACAGCACAGCACAGCCGCCGCATCGCAACGTCCCTCCCCTTTCCTTGTAAGACAGCGCCAACCCTCGACCAAAAGAAAGTTTCCAGCCGAGCGCCAGGACAGGTCTGGGCTGCACACTTCCTACCCCAGAAGCGGGCCAGGTGGGAGCCAACCTTACTTTAACCACGCGTGCACCGCTTCCCCAGAATGGCCATGGGGCAAAGCCTGTCCTGAGGGTTGCGGGCTGCCACCCGGGCGCACTCACCTTCCTGCACCGCATGGAAAGGGTTGTTGGCCTCTATGAGCTTGATGGAGTAAGTGATTTTCTCACTCTGGAGGATGTCGTCATTGAGGTTCAGATCCGACACTGCCTGCTTGAACACCTCATCGTCCTTGGCAGCATTGCCTTCAAAAATGGCACCTGCGGGAGGAAGGCGGCAGAGGGTGATGCGGGCTCTGCCCCATCTCGCTCCCAATTCGGGCCCCTAGCATTGCCCACGTCCCCTGGGCCGCATCGCATCACACCGCACCAGGGGCCTAGCTCAGCGGTGCCACACGGGGGAGCCCTCAGAAGGACCAGACACCTGTGGGACAAGGCCCCCACGTTTGCTGCGCCCCCCATCCCCCCCCAGCACAGACAAGGGGAAGCGCTGCCTCCTCCTGATGACTTCCCCTTCACCAACTCGAGGACCGACTGGTCCCAGGGAAGGGGGCGTCACTCACTAAGTTACAGGAAAGGCAGCAGCTTTAGGTAATTTGACCAACTTTTTGCTCGCTGCTTCGCTGCTGCCTGGTTTGCTGCCCTATGGGCGTTTTCTTCTGAGGCTTACAGACACAAAAACGTGAAGCTGGGCTTCACATCCAGCAACCTGAAAGCTCTCATTTCACTGTCTTGTTTACGCAGTTAGCATGAAAACAGCTGGCGATGTGCGTTATGTAATATCCCCTGCCTATGGAGCATACGTGTGCACACATTAGACTTACTACCCTGCTCTGTGGAGCGATGGAGATCTTTAATGCTGAAAAGAGAACAAGCAAAAAACATTATCCCTCAGCCTGGAAAAGTGCTGCTGATTCACACTGTGCATACCCTGTGTCTGAAGCCTCAGTATGCTGCCTGCGTGAAACTACAGCTTTGCACATAGCCTCTTTTTCTGCCACCCACCGGACCGTTGCCCCTGTGAGGAGTCAGGGAACATCACCCGGACTGAAGTTTGTGCGGGGAGAAGCCCACAACATCGTCCTTCCCGAGGAGAAGCACAGGCGAGAGGCAGAGTTGTGGAGGCCCCGACGCCCCTGGCTCAGGCATTTCCCATAGGGGCCACTTGCCTCCCATCAGAGTGAGCTGGCCCCGGAGAGAGGCAGGGCCACAGGGGGCTGCCCAGCCCCGGGGAGCGCCCCAGGGCTGGGCCCCTGCCGCGGCCAGGCTGCTGCTTGCTGCGGCCGCCTCTGCCCCTGCCCTGTCCCTGCCGGGCTGCTCCCGCCTGCCGGGAAACTTGGGACAGGGCCAGCCCCTGCTCTCCCCTTCCCTGCCTCAGGTCGACACAGGACCTTCCGCCCATCTCCGTGGGCCTCGCCTTGCCAGCGTCGCTCCCTCCCTGGCCCGCTGCTCTTTTTATTCTTCCGCTCTCCCCAAAAAGCTGTTGGGAATTATTGCTTTTCATTTCCTGGCCATGCTCCCATCTACTCCTCTATCGTCCTCCACAAGTGATTCTCTCCTACCCCAAACATCCTCATTTTCGTTCCTGCTGGTACCTTTCAACACCAGCCAAAAGGTGACTGCAGAGCCTTGCTTTTGGCTGCCAGGCTTCCCGTGGACATTACTATGCCTTGCTCCCAGAAGCCATTAAAGTTCATATTTGTCTATCCTTTGCCTCTTATTCATCGCTCTCTTCTTCCCACTGCTGATCCAGCCTTCTTGCTACCCAGGGGTTTTAATGAGATCTTATTGAAACCACAACAGTTACACACACACACGCTGCAAATCTCGCCTCTCCGACCCTTTCCCAGCCAACTTCTCCCTCTGCATTCCGGCTCGGCTGACACCTGCTCTGACAGGGGAAGGAAACCAAGGAATCATCTCCCCAAAAGTTTCTCCTATGAGCACATTCAGATCATGCCTCTCTCCTGTCCGGGTTTTTGGGCGGATTTCTTTTTTCGGTGGTGAGGAGGCCGGGGCGGGG